AACCCCCCCCCCCCCCGTGAGTGTGGCCACTGCCGTATCCCCTGCCAGATGTGTACCCAGAAGGGATACATTCCTTAAAAGGTTGAAAACACCTGGCAAAGCCTATTTTGGCTACAGTGTTGTAGCACCTGATCCAAATCTTATTTTTATTTTAAATGGGTGTATAACAATCTGATAGCTGAAATATATCAACTTTCTACCAGAATAAGCTGTCTAGTAAATACAGAATCAAGCATTTTTTTTAATAGAAAAGTTACTAAACTTGCATTAAATATGAAATTATTCAAGTATGAAAATGGACAAATTGTAACTTTTTGATTTCTTAACAGAATGAGTTAGATGATTATCCACAGTTAGATGGTGTCTTTTTAAAATACTGATGCAGGGTAAACCTCCATCCATTCATAATATAGCATAAGGTGTTGCAATATTAAATAGGTGGAAATGAACTCTTAAACAAAATGTGGCCTGTTAATGGTCTTGTGGACTGAGGGTTCACACTGGCATGTAGTATTTTCTCATTATTTGAGATAGTTTGGGAAGAACAGTGTGCAGTATACTGAAACTCACAGCAATCACCTTCTCTGGGAAAAGAATTCTTGTGTATTCCACATGCTTCCTAAAACAGGTCAAATGGGATACAATTCAAGTGCTCAGTGTCAGGAAAACAGAGGAATAGAGTGCAGGTTTGGTTTCCAAATAAATAGATTCTGCTTTATTTAAAAATCTTAGAGGTGAAATGGAGACACTGTGCAAATACTATATTCCAAGTTTTCAGATTTTTGCTTGTTAAAATTTTACAACATACCAATAAAAATTTCCAACCAAAATATTCTCTCACAAACCTGAACAGAGCAGGCAAGGGTGGCTGTTGAAATGAACTTTCACTTTACTTTTGAGCATGGTAACAAACATTTTCCTATCCATATGAGGAAAAACTAGATGTAATTATGTAACTATCAATTAGATTTAATTTGCAAGAAACTGCATGTTATTTTCCATATCACAAAATTACTCAAAGCAGCAGCTTTGTGTTAGAGACCCTAGAGGTGTGGACAACCTTTCACCATTTGAAGAAAGCAGGGGCTTGGGAGTGCACATCAGCTGTTACAATTTAACTGTGACATCTGCATGATCCAAGTTAATTGAACTGCTGTCAAAGTTCCCACTATTTTGCTACATTTGTATCACTATGGAATTTTTAAGTCTTTTCTATACACTAGATTTTTTTTTTTTTTTTTTAAGTCTTGAGAT